CTACTACTACTACTACTACTACTACTACTACTACTACTACTACGACTACGACTACGACTACGACTACGACTACGACTACTAACTCCTACTACTACTACTACTACTACTACTACTACTTCTACTACTACTACTACTACTACTACTACTTCTACTACTACTACGACTACTACTACTACTACTACTACGACTATTACTACTGCTACTATTACTACTACTACTACTACTACTACTACGACGACGACGACGACGACTACGACGACTACTACTACTACTACTACTTCTTCTTCTTCTTTTTTAATGCTACAACTACTAATCATACCACTACTGCTACTACTACTTCTTCTGCTACTCCTACTACTACCCCTACTATTACTACTTCTTCTTCTACCGCTACTACTACTACTACTACTACTACTACTACTACTAAAAGCAACTACTATATTACTACTTATTATTCTTCTTCTTCTACTACTGCTACTACTACTACTACTACGACTACTACTACTACTACTACTACTACCACCCCGAATACTACTAATACGACTACGACTACGACTACTACAACTTCTCTCCTCTTCCCCCCTACTTGCCCCCCCTACTTGTTTTATCCTGGGCGCATCTTTATCACCGGGAACGGGCCACTGAGCTCTTGCCCACGAGACGCAGAAATCAGCACAAAAACTATAGGTTATACACCTGAAAAACGCAATGTCCCGAACCACATTCTGTGGGGGGAAGTGGTCTTGGGGTCTCTCTCCTCTCCCACCGCGCCTCATCCCCTGCCCTCCTCTCTGCTTTCCGGTCCCCTCTCTGCGATCTGCTTTGTATGACACAATGACCATTGCAGCTTTCCGAAGTTACGAGCGTGTGGCGGGGCTGTGGGCGTCTCACCATTGCAGCTTTCCGAAATCACGAACGTGTGGCAGGGCTAGGTCGTCGTCGCCGTCGTGCCACGACGACGACGACCTTTTCTTTCCTTGTTGTACATCCCACGTGCGAGTCGCCGGGACAAACGGTTTATTATCCTTCCTTCCGGGACCACGGGGGACTAATATCGGGGGCACAGACTTAGGAAGAGACCAGCCCAGTGGGGGGAGGGGGGGGAAGCATCGACCTGGCATCTGCGCTGCATCGCCGACGGGTTGGCGACAG